AAAGATAAAAATTTAAAGAAAAAGTATAGAGAAGACGAACAACTTAATTCCAGTTTAAAAGAATCACACAACGTACAAATAAATGAACAAGAAAAAGCTTCTATGACTGATGATCTTATAATATTAAAGAATAAAAAAGTACAAATATAAAAGAGTAGATATAATGCTAAACTGCTAAGGAAATAAGTAACAATTTCTAAAATATATTTATATAAATTTAAATATTCATTGTTGATTTTTCTATAAAGATATTATATTTTGACAAAAAAAATTTAAATATAGTTATTTTTTCTTTTATTATTAAAAATAAGTATTACATAAATATTTTCATTTGATTCTTTTATATTATTGTTTCTATTTATCTTATTCAAACAAAATAAAATATATTATAAAAAAAGTATATTTTACAGATGTACATACATAATTACAATATATATATGTAATTAGATTTATTTGCAGTGTTTAGTCTTTATATTGCCTATATTAAAATATATATATATATATCTCAATTATAACATATGCTTATATATATATATATATAATATATAAGCATTTTATATATATATATATACATTTTTACAATATTTGTAAAGATCATTATATTTAATGCATATATTGCATATGATACATTAGTTACAAAATTAAAACAATTATTGCTCTTATTTGTTCTTACTAATATATGTTTAAATATAAACATACGTTTTTACTTATAACAAATTTATATATTTATAATGTTATTTAAAGTTTGACTTTAAATAATATTCTATATTAAGAAATATAATTATTTCACGTAAATATATTATAAGATTCATTTTCAATCTAAAAAATAATAAAAGAAATCTAAATTACAAAAGAATATTAAAATTAGACAATTTCTTGAAACTTAATAGTAATAGTAATATAGCAATATATACTAATCACTTTTTTCTATTAATAGAATTATATTCTATTATTTTTTCTTTTTAATATTAACACTTGATAGTAACTAATCTGATATAAAATAGAAATAATGTAAAAATAAAACAAAATATTATACAGAGTGTCCCATCACATCGAAAAATTGCTTAAATAGATAATCTATATTTTATACATTCATATATTCTATACATGATAATAAATAGAATAGTAAATAATAATAAATAATAAAAAAAACTCATATATTCTATTTAATCTTGTTTTTGAGTTATTTTATATTAAAGTAATTCTATCAAAAAATTGAACTATTTATAAATAAAATTTAATATTAGATATCTATTACAAAATGTCTATTGACAATATCAAAATAAATTTGATAAAAAAATTAAAGCTTTTAAAAAATAATATTTGAAAAATAGAGAAGATAAAATAAAATAAAATTAATGATGAAACAAGCTCATGTTTGAATGAGAGTCATTTTGAACATTTTTAATAAAGATAAAAAAAGATATGATAAAAAAAGAAATATATAATATAAAAAAGAATTTATTATATGAAAACAAAATCAAATAAAATATATGAACTTTTTTATTGTTTTATAAATTGTATTTATCCATCGAAGTATACGGGACATCCTGTATATAAGAAATTTAAATTACTTTTAAAATAAAATATATTACATGCTATAATAATAGTTATTTAGTTATGAAGAAACAATTACCAAGTTTTATACAAATTTTATATCAGCTGATTTTTTTTAAAGAAAACCTAAAAAAATATGTTTTTTTATCAACTACCATCAGATGCATTTGAAGACGAATCTTCAAGTTCTGGAGCATCAGGACCTCTATTTAATATACTTAAAAGATCTGTGACATGCCTTATAGTAAAATCTGGTTGTGGATCTTCTCTTAATAAAAATGGTTTATCGACTGTTGGAATCCAAATTGTACTACCTAGACCTGCTTCTATTCCACCTAGATAAAAATAATGATAAATCATTTTTTTATGATATTAATGCAATATGTTCAAATTTAATTTTTGAATATAATATTTTTTTAAATAATTAACGCATTGTGTAAAGAAAACATATGATAATAACATAATACCTAGAATATCAGTTTCTAATTTGTCACCAACCATTACACAACTATCTGGTTTAACATTTAAAAATCGACATGCTTTTCGAAATATTTCTCTTTCAGGTTTTTCCCATGGTAAATCTCCTGATACAAGAATTATATCGAAATATTGTTCGAGTGAAAGTTTTCGTATTTTTTCCCATTGTGCATTAGAAGGACCATTTGTAATCAAACCTAAGAGATATTTTATCCTCAACTGACGAAGCATAGAAATTACATCTGATGCTAGCGTCAAATAATAATATCGTAGATATAACCATCGTTCGTAAATTTTTCTTGCTAGATATGAGTATTTTTCTCCAAGAGCTTTACTCCACAAAGTTATGCGCCAAATATCCAAAGTATGAACTACATTGTCAGGACATTTTCTAAAGAGCTTCAAATATGTTGTTGTAATCTTTATAGATATATCTTCAGGAATACCATATTCTTGTGTTAGTTCCTCAGCCAACTGCAGATAAAGTTAAAATATCATTTATTAGATGTTATTCATTTTATATATAAATCAAGTAATATTATAAAATAATGAACAAAATACAAAATACACGCTAAAGGAAAATGAATGATTTCCACATTCAACACAGTTTAAAATAAGATACTTAATAATTAAAAAAAATATAAATGTTAAAAATAAATTTAATAAATATATTCAAAAATCACATATTGAATGTGGATTTTAATGATTGAACCAAGCTCTTGGGAAGAAGGATACAAACGATCAGTTAGGAATTTAGGTCACTTAATTCAGTTTTTGATGATTACCTAGAAAATGCATTGATTCATTGAGAAATACTCGAGCCGATTAGTGGACACTCGAAGTGGCACCCGCGGTCGTTGCTGTAATCACAACAAAATCAGTTGTGCCAACAACAAATTTATATTATTCCAACTTTTAAAGCTTTACTCAATTGGATATTAAATATTTATACTTATTACTGCAGATTTTGTTATGTATCATGTTAAAATAAGAAATAATTTATACATGATTATGATTTAGGAAGTTTATCTAATTTAATAATTTTTAAATAGAAAGGAAGGTAATATTTTAAAAGATAAAATTTTAAAAACAATTATTTTAATAAAAAATCATTTATTATTTTACAATGCCATTCATGTATACATAAATTTATCAAATATGTACATTTTTAAAGTATATTAATTTTAAATATCAAACTTATACAAATTTTCAAATAGTTTATGAATTAATAATGTAAAAAGAAATTTGTTTCAACATATGTTATATCAATATTTAAATTCGTAAAATTATTTAATAAATAGAAATTGATAAATCTTTTGCTTGCCAAAAAACTATTCTTACATATGATTACTAACAAAATTTATATTTGATCTATGAAATTTTAGTTCACAGGATTCCAAAATTGTAGCTATTGAAACTAACTTGAATTTATATTTGATCTATATTTGTTCTAAATTTCAATAACTATATATATATATATATATATATATATAATAAATTAATTATTCTTATTCTTATTATAATAT